AATATGCTATATGAAGAGGTGGGCATTAATAATAATAACAACAGCAAATACTAGTATTTATATAGCTACTTGATATTTGCAAAGGGCTTTACAAATATCTCATTTCATCCTCACAACAACCTTGGGAAGTGGGTACTATTATGATCCCCATTTTACAGGTGGGGAAACTGAGGCAGAAGGCAGTTAAGTGAGTGGCTCAGGACCATAGAGCTAGGAATTGTTTGAGACAGAATTTGAACTTAGGTCTTTCTGACTCCAAATGCATTGCTATATCCACTAAGCCACCTGGCTGAAATGACACCTGAGAAGATGAAATAGAAAAAGTAGCTGGACCTGTTCAAATACACGCACAAAAAATTCATACTGGAGGTGACTCATAAAAACATAAAGAGACATTTTATTCTTTTTTTTTTGACAGATTTTCAAGAACTCTCAAAGGGGAGGTGCTAAAAGAACATAAAGTATCCTAAATGGTATTATTTCTCAAAACAGACTACTAAGAAAACATTTATAACTACCAACCCATATGCCCAATTTCTTTTCAAATCTTCTCTGTATCTACACTCTCATCTCTAGAAAATTTCTCAAGAATGATCTCTGTAAGCATTGAAGGAATCCTTGATGAAAATATCTGAAGGGGGGGTGGGGCAGGTAGGTGGCTTAGTGGTTAGAGCTCTGGCCTTGGAGTCAGGAGGACCTGAGTTCAAATCTGGCCTCAGACACTTGACACTTACTAGCTGTGTGACCTTGGGCAAGTCACTTAACCCCGATTGCCTAGCAAAAACAAAAAAAAAACTGAAGAGAAGGGATCTGTTTTCTTAGATGATTCCCCACAGCAGACCATCTTCATGATCTCACAACTGACCGAGAGATATAGAGAACAGAAGATCCCCCTGTGTTTGTTGCTCTCAAAAACATATTTAACTCAGTCGTGTAAAACATGGACTTAAAAGCTCTCCCCCACTGAGGTTTCTCCCATTCTCTTTCATGCATGTATTGAACTCATTTAAGATGTTGTAACAAATGAAGCTGCAGAAATTACTTGGTTTGGTGATCCTCCATTTAGCAGCAACAAATGAGACATAAAGCAGGGAGACGTATGCTTGCCAAAATGGCTCACACTGTCATGGAAGATGCCCCATACAGCATCCAAATGGAAGAGGGATACCATTAAAAATAGTGAACTTCTCCAGATGCTCTTGCTTGTGGTTAGCATTGTGTTGATTGCAGCAAGCCTGGAACACTGCAGGACATTCATAATAAGATCCATAACCATTCAAAAAAAGATTTACCAGCAGTTCACTTACGGGAAAAAATAACTGGATGAAGAAATTCTATTTCCCAGATTACAATATGAAATAACCTACTGAGTTCCTCCAGTTGTGTGTCAACCAGTGAAAACTCATTTAACTGGTCTAGCCTTAATACCCCCATTTTAGCCTTTTGCTACAACATTAATGTTAGGGTTAAGTTTCCTGCTTCTCAGCTCTTCATTCATAATTTCCTGCTCTGAATTCCTTCCTCCTTATTTTAGTCAGTCAGTCAATAAGCATTTATTAAGTGCCTATTATGTCCCAGGCACTGTACTAAGCACTGGAGATACAAAAAGAAGCAAAAGACAGTCACTGACCTCAAGGAGCTCATAATCTATTTTTTTTTTTTTGGTAATTTAGAAAATACTCTCTCTTTACTGGTCCTAGTTTTAAATGATATATTATATTGATCCCTGTGCATGGATTCCCTCTACCCCACCATGTGCTGCTCACTTCCATCATGGACTAACACTGAAACTGTCCCTGCTAGCAGCTGTGACCCTTGTGAATGGCAAGAAAGCTTGTTAAAACCACCTCTGGGTGCCAGTGCTCTTCGTCTGAACTCTCTTACACTATAATGTGTCTTGGATAGGCATAGCAAGTGACATTAATGTGGACCCATACATGTACAGGAACAGTGAGCCTGAATACATCTGGGAAACTGAATAGCATTTTCAATAAGCCCAAGATGCTCCCTGACACAAAAGTTCATCTTTATAAAGATAGTGTTTTACTGTTGATACATTATGACTACAAATCATGGCTATAACTTCTAAGTAATCAAAAGTATAGATGGAAGGAAAGAAACAAACATTTATTTGGCTCCTACTATGTGCCAGGCACTGTACCAAGCACTTTATAAATATTAATTCATTTGAACCTTTCAACAACCCTGGGAGGTAGGTCCTATTTTCTCTGTTTTACAGTTGAAGAAACTGAGGCAGAAAGAGGTTAAGTCAGGGGTGGGGAACCTGTGGCCTCGAGGACACAAGTGGCCCTCTAGGTCCTCAAATGAAGCCCTTTGACTGAATCTTTAGGTGGGGATCCCATCAAAGAGCCACACTTGAGGACCTAAAGGGCCACAATGTGGCCTCGAGGCCACAGGTTCCCCCCGCCCTGGGTTAAGTGATTTGCCCATGGTCGAACAAGTAGTAAGTGTTTGAGGCCAGATTTGAACTTAGGTCTTCCTGACTCCTGGTCCAGTGCTCTATCTACTACATGAGAAAACGATGATAATCAAGATTGATGAAGCTCACAGACATAACCCATGGCCTAGGTCATATTATTGGCCATAACTTCCATTGCCAGAACTTTGGGTTTCCAAGGATTAGATCTGATCACTTTAGCTTACCCAAAAAGATCATTTTATCTTTTCTACTTCTTGTCTTCACCCAGAATTTCCTCAAGAAAGATCTCCAACTAGATTTATGTCTCTTTTTTCACAGATAAGGGTAAAAGCACTCCCATAAAAGTACTAAAGGAAGCAAGTGCGTATGGGTAGAAAATGACTTTCACTTCTCTCCAGAGAAAATGCAGAAGGTATAAAGAATTAACAGGAACCCATGAACAGAATGAGAACACATACAAATAGCCCATAAGCTTCTTCTCAGAAAAGAATTTGCCAAAAAAGAATTGCCAATAGGGCGACCCCTTGACATTCTGCTAAGTCACACTTTCCTATGGGGTCCTACAAATCTCTGCCTGACTCATACAGCTACCCCGTGGTTCAGATTCCCCAGAAGACAATCACACTTTAGGGCAACTAAATAACCAACACTCCAACCTTCCAGAGAGTCTCCTTGTTTTGCTCCCAAGAGACCCACACAAAAATTTAGCATTACACTGCTATTCTTAAGGCTTTGGTTCCCCCAGAAGGAGTTGTTAGAAAGTAAATTCTTTCTCACTAGACCTGCACTGACTGTCTAAACAACTAAGTTTAAGTGGGGAGTGGCAAGGTCTTGATTTACTATAGAAATTTCTTACTAGATTGTAAGCTTAATGAGGGCACAGACTATTTCATTTCTGTCTTTGTATCTCCAGTACCTGGCATAAATTGGGCAATTAATTAATATATGCTTGTTGATTGATTGATCCTTCTTCCCCTCCTTCCAATATGGCTTCAACCCTTATTAACCCTCTCACTACAAAGGACACATGAGCAATCCTTCTTCTTTCTCCACGGGGAATGCTGCTCAAGGACTTTACTTCTCTCTAGAAAGTCAGGTTTTTGACCTCTTGAACTTTGGTGTTACTTATGAGGTAAACCCCAAGGCTGAAGTCAATCTGGAAATCTCCCTTTTCTGGATAGGAGACTAGATTCTGAGATAAGTAAGGTAGCCTAGGAAATAAAAATTCCCCATCTACAACCCAGATGTTTGGTATATGGGAACATTGTTCATGAACTCCTCCTTTCTGGTCAGTAGACAGTCATGTCTGCTCCTGCAGGAACTCCATCCCTTCTGGTCATCATTGACTATCCCTAGCATAATTGGTGAATGAGAGAGAAAGAAATCCTTTTTCTCCTCTAACTATACACAAGGAAGAAGACACAAAGGAAAAGGTCAAAAGCAACCTATTTTCATACAGAGACATGTTTCCTCTGACCAGAGTCCAGCCTATTTAGTCCCCATCAGCCAATCGCTTTCTGGGTGGCCCTAATTTCTGAAAAGCAATCAGGATTTATCTTTGTCCTCTTAAAAAGTCATCAATGGGCATGCCCACATTCACCAAAGAAATTTCAGATTCACAAAGGCACTGGGGTTGTCTCTAGTAATTGATGAGGTTGGGAAGATATTTCCCAGATGAGAAAATCTGGGAGTCTAATCACCATGTTTCTACCTTGCAACTGGGGAGGAGTTTTATATTCTTGCTGCTCCACAAAGTCTAAGAAAGACCCTGTGGACAGAAATGGTGATTATCACCATTCAGATTCAGCTGCTTTGCATGTAGGAAAACCTGGAAACGGCTGGGAGCTGTCCACAGCTGAAACTAATTTGGAAAAACAAGGTGGTAGGGTTAACAACACATAGAGGGCCCAGGCACATTAAGCATGTAGAATGTGAAAAATTGCATAGAGATACATTGGCCACTTCTCAGATATTCTCAACCTGCCATATAGGAATACGGCATATTCCTATATACTTCTCTCCTGCTCTTCCCCTAATTTTCTAACTTTAGTTCTGAGACAGTAATTGAACAAATACCTGGAAAGTGTGTAAAATCAATTGTCCTATGACTCAAAACACCGTCTTTGTGACATTCCTGTTCAAAATACTCCTCCTGGGCCGCCAATAATGTGTTGTTTTTCCCCTATTAAAATTTAAGCTCCTTGAGGGCAGGAACTGTCTTGCTGGCTTGTGTTTCTGTATCCAGTACTTCACACAGTATGTGGAACATTGCAAGTACTTAATACACGCTTTTTCATTCATTCATTCTTTCATTAATTCAAGTTCATTTCTTGATGCAGTTTAGGTTTATTCAAACTTTATAACTGACCTCAAACTGGATTTAATGTTTGCTCCTTGGATGGATTATTTACAATACTGTTGAGTGTTGTTCCTGAGTTGTTTGAAGTGGTTTCCCCAGAAGACTCCTGGAGAGTAGGACTTATGCCTTGTTTTCTTATACCTTGTTTTATATCCCACACTTGCTGACTGACTGGTCTGTGTGAGTGAATGACAATGTTACCTGTCCCATGAAATCCGTGAAGAAGAGCATGTTGGAAAGGAAAGCTGTCCATCCAATGAGGTGACTGACACAGAGATAGCGGTAGTGAGGAGGCATGCTCAGAATAGTCTTCAGCAAAGACTTCATGGTCATCTTGCTCTGAGTCTAGGACAAAACATACAACAAAGGTATAACCTTCATAGGGTCATCAATTTTGAGCTGAAAGGGACCTTAGGGATTACCTAGGCCAATCCCCTCGCTCTACAAGTGAGAAAACTGAGACACAAGCTCATACAGAGAGTAAGTAATAGTACCAGCAGTCAAACCAAGTCATGTGAGTTTAAATCGAGAACTCATTCCACTATGCTACACAGTGCTTTGGAAATCCTAGGTACTGGAGGCCTGAATGCTGTGTACTAGAAGTGCTGGTGCTAACTCTGATGAGAGGCACTTTCCCTGGACATTGGTCATCTAATTAACTCATTTTGTCCATGAAACTTCCCTTGAGAGACACATGGTACAGTGGATATATTAACTGAGTTTGGAGTCAGGAAGACCTGGGTTCAAACCCTGTCTGAGACACTAGCTATGTGACCTTGGACAAGTCATTTCATTTTTTTGGGCTTTAGTTTGCTCATCTGTAAAACAGAACAGGGAGGGGGGGTAGCTAAAAATAAGCCTCCCTATGTCCCAAAGATTAGAGCTGAGCAAAGTTTTACATAAGATGACTAAGGCCCTTTACCACACACAAGTATATAAGAGACAAGGTAGGGTAGTGGGCAAAGCACTGAACTTAGACTCAGGTGAGACCTAGGTTGAAATCCCACCTCTGACTTTTACTAGTCATATGACCAGGGATCAATCTCTGAACCTATTCGAACCTCAGTTTCCTCATCTTCTTGTGTTAAAATTGTATCTTACTCTGGTCACCTTGACCATTCCATCTTGCTTCTAGTTAGTATAATAAGTAGGTTTACAAGTAGCCAGTATAGAAGGGGCAATAGTAGGAAGTAAGATTGCACAGAGGAATCTATGTCACTTATAGACCATCCCAAAGACCAAAGGAGCCTAACTTACAAATTATATCAAGTATTAACCAAAAATCACAGCCTGGTAATATGTGCTGAGGGAAAGCCATCTAGGTTTTGTTATCGGTGTCTTTCAGTCCCACGATATGAAAAATTCAGATAATTTCCAGACATCCTCAGTAATACCAGAAGAACATCAAATAGTGCTAATAACTCTCAGATGACATGGATATGTTAAATTTAAAGTCTAACCAATAAGTATGAGATGATTTGCATGTGTTAATGAAGCTCCAAGGTGGCACAGATAAGCATTAGTGTGTTACCCCAAAAAACTCTATAAAAATGAGACCTCAAACTGTTGCCCTCTGAGTGATTTTCCATCAGCTAAGGGTCCACGCTGCTCTAGTGCAGTGAACTCCAATGCACCAGTATGTAATCGACTCATCCCTTTCCCATTCTCTTCCTCCTTCCCCTTCCTGCCTGCCTTCCATCACCATGCCATCCCCTGTCCCCCCACCATCTGCCTCTGTAACCTTTTTCTCTGCTTGTCTTTGTACTTTCCATACCTGTTCCCCCTCCTACACCCTCTTTGCCTTATTAAAGTGTGATTGCAGCCTCAATTCCCCTCTGCCATCATGGCCTTTCCTGGTGAGTATCCAAAGAACCAGGCATGCTGGCCTCATTTCATAATTTCATAAATTAATTAGCAACTAATCCTCAAAATGGGGGTAATTAAGATGGTAGTGCCTACTTTGAAGTGTTATTGTGAGGCTCAAATGAGATGATGTATGAAAAGCACTTTGCAAGCCTTAAAGCCCCCAAAAATGTCATCTATTGTTATTATGAATACATAATGAGCACAAAAGTGGCTTTATAGCACCTACTTGTGGCAGGACCCTGTAAGCATATCCATTAGTATTGTTGGCAGTGTGGGGGAAACACATGATTTGGCTAGTTTTTTAAGTCACATTCCCAATTTACTGATTTGTTCTTTCTCTCTTTTGTTAATGAAAGCATTTTAAATATATAAACTTTCCCATAACGACTGCCTTAGCTGAATCCCATAAGTTTTGGTATATTGTCTCAGTGTTGTAATTTTCTCTAATAGAATTTTTCATTATTTGTTCCTTTTAATCTTTGGGATTATTTAGTCTTCAATGAATTTATAACTCTTTCCTCAAAGGTCCTTCATTGAACATATTTTTATTGTCCTGTGGTCGGGACAATATGATGTGTTTAATATTTCTGACTTTCTGCATTTTTTAGTAAAGTTTTAAATGCCCCAATACATATTTTTTAAGGTGCCACAAATGACTGAGAAGTATGTAAACTACTACCACAATGAAGGCTTTTCATAAGCACATTCATCTGTTGGTTGTCAATGTGTCTTGCCAGCATGTCACACCAACTCTTCCTAACCCTGACTGATGATGATGATGATAATAATAATTATGATAATGTCAATTTGTTGTTCAGTCCTTTTCAGTCATGTCCAACTCTTTGTGACCCTATTTGCAGTTTTCTTGGCAAAGACACTGGAGTGATTTGCCATTTCCTTCTCCAGTTCATTTTACAGATGAGGAAATGAGGCAAACAGGGTTAAGTGACTCTCCCAGAGTCACACAGCTAGTGTCTGGGGCCAGATTTGAACTCAGGAAAATGAGGTTTCTTGCCTCCAGACCCAGCACTATGTGCACTGCACTACCTAGGTGCCTGATGATATCAATAAGTAATATTTATATATCACTCCTTAAAATGTATAAAGCATTTTCTATGTATTATCTCACTTGATCCTGACAACACTGTGAAATCGGCAGTACATTATTGTAATCCCTATTTATAGATTAGTGAACTAATTCTCAGAAATTTTAAGTAACATCCATATTCACAGAACTAGTAGTCCACAAGTACCATCCATAGGCATGGTTATAATTCTTCAATTTCTTGATTCTAAGAACCAGCTTGTACCCTGCTCTCCCAAGTCCTTCCTGCTAGACCTTTGCTATTCTAAGGAAGGTCCCTAGGCAGTATGTTAATGAAAGGCTATAATTATCTTCCTCGAGACTATCAAGATGTCCCACAAGTAATCAGGCCTCAGACCAAACATTTGACACTTACTAGCTGTGTGACCCTGGGCAAGTCACTTAACCCCAATTGCCCCCCCCCAAAAAAAAGATGTCCCACAAGTTAACACATTTATATTTATAAGTCCCAGGATAAATCCCTGTCCAGATGAGAGGAAGAAGGGAAGATAGAGGAGACCATAATCAATTATAAAATGTTAGAGCTGGAAACTCAGAAATTATCTTGGTTCATATTATAAAAGAGAAAACTGAATTTCAAGGAGGCTTTCAGATTGAGGAAGAACAGCCTGGGCACAAGATTCCCAACTAATCCTTCTCTATCCATGCACCCCTTCATCCAGCTTGTATCCTGAGCTTACATGGAGAAGACCCTAAGGGGAGATGCAAGATTTAGATAAGATACTTCCTGCCCTAGCAGAATTAATAGAGTAGCAGAGGGAGATGATACATGCATAGGTGATATAATAGAAACGGTCACATGATTGAGTACATTAAAGAGGTGCAATGTAAAGTACTATCTGAGGTCTAAGGGGGAAGTTCATTACTAAGGGGATAGATCAAGGAAGGCCTGTGAAGGAGGCGATACCTGAGTTGAACTTTAGAAGTTGGGTAAGAATTACACAAGATGAAATGAGGGAGGACCAGCTCCTTTCCTCAATTAATGCACATATTAAAGATTAAAACTGGACAACAGGTGTTGCCTTCCTCTTCACTTATTAATTTAGGCCTCTGCCTCAGGCACAATATTCAGCCCACTCCCTTGCTCTCTCCCAAACCTATTTCTGCTTTTGTTCTTAATCCCACATGAGCTTTCAAATTAGACTTGTTATTTCACTGAGTCAGGCATGAAAATTCTCAGCTCCCCTTTGGGTTTTAAAAATGAAAATGAAAATGAAATTGCCCTTTTCTCACTAGTTCCCTCATTTCCTTGATAAAGCCACAAGAGGTTTTACAATGATTTTCAGTACCTTTTAAAGTCTCACAAAGATTGCTAATCACTGTCTGATGAAGGTTGCAATGGCTGCTGTATAGACCGGCCCAAGGTAATCAGGACCAAAAGGGAATGTAGCACACACACACACACACACACACACACACATGCACACACACACACACACACACACACACACACACACTCCTGAAATGGCAGAGCTGGATAAGGACATTTAGCATTGGAGATAAGGTTTAAAGGTATCTAGCATGAACCTTCAAAAAATTCAGGACCCACTCTAAAGCAAGGGATCATGATTTTCAAATGACACAGACACTCTTGTTGTGAGAAAAAAAAAATAACTGCTCCAAAAAATAATTGCTCTGGGCTCATGGCTCCCAGACGGTAATAATTCAACTTTCTCAGCAGTTCTATTTTGGAAGCCAAAGCTTATGGTATTTGGCCAAAGATGTGTTGTCCTGCTCTTTTAAATGTAGATGATACGAAAGCATCCTGGTCCATCAGAGCCGATGTGAGTGTGAGTGAGTTTGTGTGTACATGGTATGAACTTGATAAAGGTCTCCTTAGTTGATTTATGTGGTTTTGAATGAATTAACTTCCATTGGTACAGTGTCATTGTTGTTGCTGTTATTATTCTATCGTTTCTGCTGGGCAAGAACAACTAATGATATCATTTCTAGAAAGTATAAAGAACAAGGGGAAATTTGCAGCAATCCCATTGATTGGGCAATGTTTTTATTTCTGCCATAACCAAGGTTCTGACTGATCTCTATGTGCAAAAGGAAGGCTGGTCTTCCTTATAGAAGAGGAGGTAAAGGAGCTCATGAAATGCCTCTCCACACTCCAGGTTATCAGGGACAATGAGGATGGGTCTTTCTATCCAGCCTAGGCTAGAAGTGCAGCAGCCACTCAGGGGCCCAGTCTTACCTCTGACTGGCATGGAAGCTCTGTTTCTGACCTCCTCCAGCTTGCTGTCCTTAGGTTGCCTGGTTCCCTGAACACACCCCGTATTGGAGTGGAGGTGGGGGAGGGGGAACCACATTGGTACCGACTTAGTGCGGGCACCTGATTGATCATCTTTAGTCCTATTGCAACTCAGTC